TAGGTGCTTTAGACCACTGAGCCAGCTCACCAGCCCAAAAGACATTTATTTTTTTATTTTTTTGGTGGAACTGGGGATTGAACTTAGGCCCTTGCGCTTGCCAGGCAAGAGCTTATTCTACTGAGCCATCTCCCTGGCCCGGTAGGGTGTATTTTTAACGGTACTTTGAGATATGAAGTATGACGGTACAACAAACTCTGTCCCTGGTTTCACGAGAGGAGCACTGAGGTTGCCCATGAAGCAGGAGGCAGCAGTGCACCTGTGGCTGTTGATCGTGGATTTTCTCACCTTCAGCCCTGTCAGAAATGTCTGCTGTTTATCAGCTACTGGGCTCATGGTGTTTTTATCACAGCAGCTTGAACAAACTAAGACAGCAATTTATTTGGAATAAACCAGCATTTCCTGATACAAATTTCCGAGATAGATTATCCTACTCGGCTCTAATTGGCTCAGTGTCCTGACAAGAGCTCTACACAAGAGGAGCCCAATCCTAGGACCTCTGCTTTCTGATGTGATCTCTGCCTCACACACATGCTCATCATCCACCAGCAATCTATAGTGAAAATCTGAGGTGAAAAGCAGAGGGAAAATTTGTGGTTTCATCAGAAAGGAAGCATCTGCGAAGTTGGAGCCACATACAGCATGGCTGTGGAAACATTATCACTAAAAAGAAGCAAAGTACTCTGCATAGGACTTGGATTTTTCCCCAGGATTTTATTTACATCACTCAGACATATGGGCACTCAGATCTCTGCAACCACAATCCAAGGGGGCCTGTCTACTGCTCCAGCCAGTGTTGACCTTGGTGTCATCTACATGCTCCTGGTTTTATGGGCACATAGAATTCATGTTATGGAGTTGTGGAGACTTCCATTCAGTTTTCAGAAAACTTGGGAGGCCAGGCAGTACACCCGAGAAGGCAGTGCATGAAGCTGTTGGGCTGCAAGTACAACGAAAAGCCCAAAAAGGTAAGAGACAGCAGAAATGTGGAGTAGCTGCTGAGGAAAGCTGCAGACCATGAGCAGAACCAGCTCTACAGAGGCACAAGTAGCCACTGGCAGTGCTGTGCAGGTGGGCACCCAAGCCCCATGCCTTCACATCGCACAGCTTGCCCCAGGTGCTGGTTATGGAGTTGAGGATTTCATGTTTACCCTGCTGGGTTTCTGTCGTTTTGGTCCCATTCATTTCTGTCTATTTCTTTTTGCAACTGAAGCATTAACTGTGTCACTGTTTGTTAGAAGAATTTAACTTTCTTCATCTTCACAGGGGCTGACAGCTGTAGGAGACTTTGGCAATGTTTGAGCTGTGGGCACACTCAACCTCAGAGCACCAGCTATACTACACAAGAGACAGGCATGAGGCTTTTGGGAGCCAGAGGCAGGGT